TTTAAAGAAGTTACAAAAATATTCTGTTTGAGGAACTCTGACATAGAAGCACTGGATGTTCTTGAGCATGGGTGTCAAACTCCGCAGCATCACAGAATGCATTGCAGCTTCCCCCTTCGTGGAACTGGGGTGGGCGTGGCCTGCAGGTGATACATCTGGTCTGCGGGCCACCAGTTTGACACCCGTTCTTGAGCATCTATAGATAAACTTTTCAACTCTTGACTTTGAGTAAAATATTAGAAAAATCCTATTGGAACAACTGAACTTTATATGGGCTGATCAGACTTAGTTTAATTAATGGCAGGTGTGTGCTGACCACTATTTGACATCAGTTTGAACAAGATTGGTTAATTTTTAACATATCCCTACCTATAAGAGTGTGTGACTTATGCAGCCAAATTATTCTAGTTTTTTATTTTTTCCCTTAACAGATTTCAGTTTGTTTTTAACTGAATTGTACAGTCAATGTTATATTAAGGGTGGAAAAAATTCTGAAATATCTTGGTCTGATTTTTTTTAACATCTCAAAAAACCTAGTATTTTAAAAGGGATATATAGTCTTTCTATATCTGAATATACTTACGTGGCTAATTCATGGAGACTACAGTTGAGCATGCCAAGAAATGCAGCCTCCTTACTGTAATATCTAAGGATAATTATTCGTAGTTTAAAAACCAACTCATTTCAACACTTTCTGATTACTGTATTTTCTAGCACTACAATATACTCAAGGTTATTCGCATAAAACTTTACTTACATTTTCTTATCACCTTTTTATTTTTCTAAACTTTAGGTTCTTATAAATACAGAGACTGGAATGTTAAAAATTTGTTTTCTAGTCAAACCTGGACATTATCTAGGTCACTATTTTCTGTACTGATTGGTACCAAACAGGTTCGTGATAGAATATTCTGGTTAAACTTCATCATATATTTCTGATCATCTTTAATAGCTCCATAGATGCATAATGATTAAGAAACTTTTATGTTGTTGTTTTTTACAGAGAGAAGAAGAAAGAATTAGAACGTGAAGAATTGTGGAAAAAGCTGGAAGAACTCAGACTCACCAGGACTTTGTCTAACCCGCCAAGTAATACCTCCTCCTCTTTGACAAATATACCAAATGATAGTGCCAAGTGAGTGTGAAAGCCTCTGTTTGTGAGGCATACCTTTTCTATACAGATTTTTAAAAAAATATATGTAAAAAGTGCAGAAGAGAAACCTCATCAGTATCTTTGAATGGCCATCCTACCCACATGTAAATGAAATATTTTTGAATTGAAATACAGTAATTGAATGTGATATTATTTACCATAGCGTATTGTAAATTTGTCTCTAATCATTGCTATATTGTCAATTCTGATATCTCACAGAAATTTTATCATCCACGAAGTATGTAATTTAATTATGGGAATGGTGAAATTTTGACTTGAAGTTTTTTTTTCTTTTTTAAATTGTGTTGCACTTAGGCATAGATGTCAGGTAGCTACATTTTCTCCTCCCTATGTGCTTTTCATAGCGCTGCAGCCTTTGGTTGAGACTCAGGAAGAGACTTCTAGCTTTACTGTATTTCCTGAAATGAAACTAATAATCTAATATCAAGTTGATGGGATTAACTCCCATGAAGCTCGGTGGGGGTTGCTTCTGAATGTATCACTTGAGTTGAATCTGCCCATTACAATATCACAGGTCAGGCTATTTCATAAGAATGTTTAGTTTAGAGAGATTAAGATTCAAAATTATATGAGGGACCTTTTCAAGTAGAAAAGAGGTGGGTAAAGTGGGCTGTATAAATGGATAGAGACAGGGAAAGGGAGTAAGTTGAGCTTAGCTGGCTTGGAGAAGCAGCCTAACTCCTACCCAAGTTACAATTATCTGAGGGAGGAGTTAGGCTGCGTTATATGTTTTGCTTCAGGAGTTATGTGAGCTCTGAATGAGGAAAGATTGTTAACTTTTAATAAAGAATTATACATATAGTTCTCATGCTTCCTCTTAGAGAAGATTCAGTAGTCATGTTTCTGTTCCCATAACTAAAAATTGGAACCTATACATTACACTCTATAGCAAATTTTTGTCGAACCTAATCAATCTTGCTTTTTTCCGACTTTTACTTGTGTTTACTCATGCCATGGACAAAGGGTTGGACTAGAAGACCTCTGAGGTCTCCTCTAGCCCTATTGTTCTAGGATTTAACCTGGCCCCTGCAGGATGGCCCAGCTGCTCCATTTAAAGCTTAGGCTGTGCAGTTGGTATGCAGACATGCAAGACAGGTCTTTGTGTTAAAGAAAAAGCAGTGCTTAAGAAGACAAAAAATGATTCTTAAAGTTTTGTCTGTTTTTACTTGATCAGTGGGGTGCTCTTTTGCAGATCTTTATATATCATTCCAATCTCTTAAATTTCAATTGTGTGGAAAATGGTTTTGTATTGAAAGACTAAGGGATTGAGCAGCATTCAATAAAGTCTTTATGTTTGTAATTAGTGCTGTATATTACCATTTTTGTAATTTAATAATTATAAATAGGAGAATGGTTAAATTGATGGGCTATTTTTCAGCAAAATATTAACATTTAATTAAAAGATTTAAATAAGATTAAAGCAGGTGGCAATTATCAAACTGAAATGAAAGTAGTTTGACAAAATAAATGTTGATACGCAAATTTTAGTTAGGCTTTTTGCAGGGGGAAAAACCAATGGGGACTGTACACTTTGGGGTGGGATGTCAGCCCCCTCCCCCAAGATTCCACAATAGTTTTCAGGAGAATGGGATAGAGTGGGAAATTACAGGAGAAAAGCCAATTCATTCTACTTAATGGACATTATTCATCAACATAACATCGAATTGTTGTGGCCCTCATCTCTTCATTTTATTGACTAAGTAAAACAAGATTCTGTCTTTAATGCAGAAGATATGTTCACATTTCAAAATAAAATGGATGCCTAGCACATATTCATCTTTATGTCTACAAATACTGGAATTAAAAATAATAATAGTATTTTGGATTTGTATGGGCAACATTCCAAAATATAAACACAATCATGGACCCTATCATGCATTACATGATTCAAAGTAAAATACTACAGACTACACTTTATTCTACACCCCCCTCAGAAGGTGGCAGAAAGCTAATGTAGAATTAATGGTTAATATATTTTAAAGTAATTTTCTTCATCATACCACTATAATCTGCCTGGAGGTTTTAAACAGGAAAAAAGTATTTTAGGTAAATATAAAATGAGTATCTAAACTAATCTAAATCTTTCTCATTTAAGGAATAATAATCTTTGTAATATTTCATTATTACATGTTTTCTCTTTTTAATGCTTATGGATTTATGAGTAAGTTTTCTATCTATAGGTTTTGGAAGAGGTCTGATTTATCACGACAGTATTAATATTTTAAGTAAGTGTAGCACAGAGGTATATTTTATTGAAAAATCTTTAGCATAAATATTATTTAATAAGAACGCTTGATAAAATTCCTATTTTCAATGTTTGGTTTTGTTTCAGTAAATAATAACTCTTAAATAATAACTCTTGCTAAGACAAGAGCTATTTTTATGTTTATTGTACTGTATTCTGTGAACAGAGGAGTAGGCAAACCAAAATTGGCACGTGGCACCACATCCCCCCAAATCTGGCATCATATTGCATCATAGCAATAGCACTTAGACTTGTATACCACTTTACAGTGCTTTACAGCCCTCTCTAAGCAGTTTACAGAGTCAGCCTATTGCCCCCAACAATCTGGGTCTTCATTTTACCCACCTCAGAAGGATGGAAGGCTGAGTCAACCTTGAGCCTGGTGAGGATCGAAGGAATCGAATTCCTGGCAGTGTGAGTAGAGTTAGCCTGCAGTCCTGCATTCTGACCACTGTGCCACCATGACTCTTATAATCCTCACAACGTTTCCAGTAGTTATCATATATCAGTTGTCCTTTTTATAAAAAAGATTGTTCCTATGTTTGCAACTAAAAGTCCAACACATAAAAAGAGCTGAAATCCAATAATGTATTTTTTCAGTTAGAAATGGTAAGAAATCAAACTGTTATGTCCTACAGCTAACAAATATTGCCAACCAATATTGATCAATCTCTTTAGTCATGGTTTTTGGGGTTAGTTGTTAATCAGTGGTATGTTCAATATTCAGTTAGTACATATAGCTTTAACAATGAGTTTTTATCCCTTGGGAGTGTGTTTGTCAGAGCAGTAGATGGAATGTAAGTGATACTTAATGCTGAATAAAGCACTGTTCCCCCTGATTGGCAGTATATCCAGTGGAAGGCCTTGAAGCAAATGTCTTTCTCCCTGAGTTTATTTAGTGATTGGACTCAATGTTTGGGAACAGGATTAACTAAATCTATTTACTGGTAGACACTATATGTTAAATTCCCATTTTAAAAAAAAATCCTACCTCATCCATATAAATTGTTTCTTTTTTACAGGAAGTTAATTCTTTTTTCAGGAATATTCTTACCACTAAGTAGCAGCTTGTAAAAGAAATCATATTTTTGGAAAAGACTGTGGATTTATAAAGAGTCAAGTTATTTTCTAAAACTTCCAAATGTTAAGTTCAGCCCAACAAAGCAATTTGTCCTTCCATCAATGCAGTTTTCTTGTGTAACATAGACGTTGTACTGGTTTAATCATCCTAGCTGAACTTCTCAGTGAAGCAGAAATCTGTGAAGCACATTGTTTTCAACTTATATGGTTCAAGGCTTGAGTTTTTCTCTTGAGATGCCGTTTTCGGATTTTTATCATCCATTTCACACTCAGTTTGGCAAAATCGGCTGCTTTAAACAAAGCCAGGAATATACCACACAAAAGAGCAATCATGTTCCAAGGATTTGCAGTGACAATCTATGAAAATAAATTAAACAAATCATTTAAACTGTTGATTAAAGAGCTACTGTTTACTTTTTATTATGGAATGTTTTATAATAAAACACTTGGTTTATACCAGTAATAAACATATTAAACTTTTATTTACGATTACTTCTCCAAACAGACCAAGAGAAAAAGTTGCACTTCAGTATTATTTTACTTGTTACATATTCACATGGCTAAGATTGAAATTTGCTGTTAATAGAGGAGTATCTAAAACTGGTTTATTTGTCCTGTCTACAATGATGTTTAAAAATTGGTGAACCCTTTTGAATTGTCAATATTGGTGCAAAAATATGGCCTAAAATATGATCAAATATGTGGCTTTCCTCAGTAAACAAAAAAACAAGTATAATGGCTTTTGACTTATTAGTTTAATTTGGTTCTTTTTAATTAATTTGGGACATATGTGGAGAGGTGATTGACTCAGCCTTCCATCCTTCCAAGGTCGGTAAAATGAGGACCCAGATTGTTGGAGGCAATATGCTGACTCTGTAACCCGCTTAGAGAGGGCTGTAAAGCACTCTGAAGCAATATACAAGTCTAAGTGCCATTGCTATTCATGCAGAAATATTGAAAATTCAAAAGGATTCAGAAATGTTTAAGGACCCAGTGGTTATGCCTACTTTTAAGATGTAATCAGATATACATTTTTCATGGACTAAGATGCCATGAAAGCAAAGAAACTTCCTTCTAAATTAAACATGTTACTGCAAAAAAGTTATGCTTCTATAGCTATTATATTTCAGACAAGTCACCATGTACAGCAGCAATCAAGTTTTTTCTGCCATTACAGCACTCTTTGATAGACCTTTGTCTGGGAGTCTACATAGGGTGCAAATTTTTAGCTATTTTGACTACATTCCAAGTACAGACAGTCCTCGGTTTACAACCATTCATTTAGTGACCATTCAAAGTTGCAGTGGCACTGAAAAAAGTGATTTATGACTATTTTTCACATTTACAACTGTTATAGCATCCCCATGGTCACATGAGCAAGATTCAGATGCTTGGTCACTGGTTCTTGTTTAAGACAGTTGTGATGTCCTATATGATCACCTTTTGTGACCTTCTAACAAGCAAAGTCAACAGGGAAGCCAGATTCACTTAATGATCATGTTACTAACTGAATAACTGCAGTGATTCACTCAACAGCTGTGGCAAGAAAGGTCATAAAATAGGGCAAAACTCATTTAACAACAGTCTCGCTTAGCAACATAAATTTTGGGCTCAATTGTGGCCATAAGTCAAGGATTACTTGTACATCATCTTGAAAACAGTGGATGTCCTATTTGTGCTTCCAATTTATACTGAGGCTGGCACTTTACATTAACAGAAAAATGATCCAAGTTTACTCACATCTTGAACTTCCTGAATAAAAGGATCTTTCCATTCAAACACCACAAAAAATAACTGGTCAATATCAGCTTTTGCCCTTCGTTCAATGTAGTTAACCACGCTAATCTGACAAAATAAGGGAGGGGAAAGGTGATTATTCATATATAACATACCAAAATAGACTTTTTTTAAAAAAGCCCAAGAATCCAAATGCCTTAAAAATAATAAAAATAAAATTGACAGCCTGCTGTGGGACTAGATTGAGGGGGGAAATAGGAACTTTACCAAGATTATATATGAATGAGGGATGCAAACAACCTGGCTTCTAAAAGATAAAGTAAAATGGCTGAAGCATGGAATATAGCCAGCAATAAAACTATTTTTCAAAAAAGCAAAATGGGAGTGCTAAAGGACATACAGTACAATGTATTCAAGAATAGCTACACCTTTTTTTTCTTTTACAGATCATTGATGGGGGGAAATACTAGAAAAAATTATTGAGCAAAAGTCTTAATAATCAGTAGTTCACAGATCTAATTCCTCAAATGCATTTCGTTAGGAATTTAATGGTGGATCATTTTTTTTCTTTGCTATTTGTTGCCTTTGGAATGCAGGAAAACTATAGAGGCCAGTAGTTATCGGGATCAGCTTTCCCATTAAGCATTACTATTAATCTGCCCCTTGGGGGCAGATATTGGGGAGGAAGAGGGAACATGCTAGTGCATCTGAATGGGAAAAACTGTATACTATGGGAACCTGCCTACTATCCCAAGATACCATCCTGTTTGTCAGTGTTAAAGATTAAGTTATCAGTTTAGCTAATTTGTGTAGTTCAGAATCAGAGGAGATATCTAGACTTTAGTGTCTGGCATAAAAGTTCCTTAGGAAACCCCTGAATTCCAAGTTAAAATTGTGATTTAAGTTTCTAAGGAGAGATTAGAAAAAAAACTACCTTAATACTTTGCTAGGTTGATACTTATAAATAGCAAAGAAATTCTGCAAAGTCTTCAGTGCACTTTTCCAACCTTTAAGTGGTTCACTGTTCCACAAAACTCAAGATGATACAACAACCAAGAGCGACAGAATCCCAGCTATTTGTACAACAACAAAAGCCATGTGGTCAGAAAGTCTCATGAGACACCATTACCTCTTGCCTGAATTCAACTGCCACCAAACCATTTTCTTCTTTAGTTTTCACCAAAGACATTTTGACCCAAGTTCGGAAACCTCCAGAGAATTTCCAACTGGAATAGGAACTCTCACACACCTTCATAAATTCTGACTTGTTTGGACTGTAATGGGAAGAAATGTTATGTTTAGACAGATTATTATGGTTTGCTATGAAGCTTTGTTATTTTGAGGAAGAAGAAAAATGTGTAGTACTCCTGGCTTTAGAGATTGATGCTTTGACTTACCTTCAGTCTCTCATTTCAGGTTTCCCAGCATGTTCACCATAATTTTCTTGGAACCTGTTAATATTACCTATTATCACCTGATATTTTAAAAATATGTTATTACTCTTTGTGTTATTTGGGAATCTCCATGTTGTAAAGCTTTTCAGTTTTAGCTTTATTTCATTTATATACCGTAGTTCTTTAAGGTGAATGAAATGATAACGTAAGTTGGGCAGCTACTTGCAGCAACACTCAACACAGAGCAGGTCAATATTATTTGCATCCTGAAGAAGCAAAAGTAAAGCCACAGGCATCTATGGGAATGGGGCAGCAAATAACAAAAAAGAATTGTAACACAAACCACAGGGCATATATATGTCAGAATCAGCAAGTACAAAAATTGGTGTTTGTGTTGGAATATACATTTTACCATTTTCTCATCTTCACAATTTGACCTCACATTTATGGTGAGGAGTTGAAGCTAAGAGAATTCTGTCTTGCCCTCAGAACAGCTACTGAGGTTTTAAAGAAATTCAGAATTATTGCATTATATATGCCTCAAAATCTTTCCTAGGGATTTCCAAATATTTTGGTCCTACAATTCCCCTTAGTCTAAGGCAGGGGTGTCAAACTCATGTCCTGGTGGCATCACGTGACTTATCGGGACTCTCCCCCCCCTTTGTTAAACCAGGGTGAACATGGCCAGTGCATCTGGCCTGTGGGCTGGGAGTTTGACATCCTTGGTCTAAGGCAAGATGAACTCTGGTGAAACTGGGCCTTTACCCCAGAGCCTGTGCAGGAACCCATTCTGGGAAGAGCTGCTATATACACTTTTCATCATAATCATTTTAGCCATTGTCTATCCACTATAGAATGAAGGCCTCTTCCACATGTTTCCAACCAATATAGTCCTGAGCTTTCTTTTGCCAATTGAGCCCACAATACTTGCAGATGTTGTCAATCCATCTTGTTTTAGGTCTCTTTCGTGGGCGCTTTTTGGTCCATCAGCCATCAGTTCTTCTTGCTATGTGACCAGCCCATTTCTATTTCAATTCTTTTACTCTCTTGATGATATCATATACTTTTGCTTGTTCTCTAATCCGTGTGCAGGTGTTTCTATCTTGTTTTGTAATGCTGAGCATGTATCTTTCCATGGCTCTTTGCACCACTAGTAGCTTTTGTATCGTGTGTGTGTGTGTGTGTGTGTATACATACACACTTATTTAGATGTAATTCCCCTGAAGTTAAAGGAGGTTGATTTCTGAGCACACAGACAGAACTTTGCAGTTTTCCAAATACATTAGCAAAATATAGTTCTAAGCTCACCTTGGAAAGTGCAATGTAACCATGAGACTATCACACAAACCTGAGCTTTTCTTATGGCCACAAAGCCACAATCAGTGTGAAATGTTATTTTTTTTGGGGGGGGGGGGGAAGGAGCATGCAGCTATAAATATATAAAGCTGCCTTTCTGAATGTGAATGTGTTGCCTTCTTGAAAAATAGAACTGTTTGTCTAACTTGCTTCCAACTCTTCCCATACCACATTAAATAAATGTTAGCTCTTTTTTTGTATTCCTAATCTATTGAACTGCTGCTTACTTACTTCAGGAAATGCTAGCAGACTGGAAGTAAAACGCTTTAATTTGAGGGCCTGGTATTGTTCCTTCCTCATCACCGTTATATTTAGGTTTCTCCAAAACGAGGTTTGTAGGCAGGGAATCAAAGAGACCCGTGTTTCTTCCATCTTATTTTATATCACAGTACTACAAAGTTGAACTGAGACATGATTTGCTATACACTGGACGGAGCTTTAGATCCCCAATTATTATACAAATAATATTTTTACCTCTAAATTAGGTTGCAGAAGAAAAATGGGAGCAAATCAGGAATGGATTTGCATGTTTAATTGACCAAGTAAGACCATCAAGGCCTATTGTATCTTTCCCCAACCAGAGTGCCCCAAGATGTACCGTGTTTCTCCAACAATACGGCCTCCACCAATAGGAAGGCCCAGCATGTTTTTTTGGCATAAAATCAAATTAAGCCCCTCCCCCCAAATTTAGGCCTATTTTAAAACATGCAAAATAAGGGGGAAGGGCGTTAGGAGCGCCCCGCGGGCAGCAATTCCTCACCACCAGCCGCTTCTAACAGGTGATCATGGCGAAGCGCAGAGAGCTCCCTACTCCCACCAAACACCTTTGCTGCAGACCCAAGACCTTTGGCACCCGCTGCTGTTGCTTTCCCTTCTGCCCATTCCGCCGCTATGTTTGGAGCTGCCGCTTCCTGTTTGGAGTGCCGCAGCCATTTGGAGCGCCAAACACGGCGGCAGCTCGAAACGCGGAAGCGGCAGCTCCAAACATGACGGCGGGCGATTTATTTTGGTCCGCACGAAGTTCAGAGCGAGCAAGAGAGGGAGACTGCGATGCCTCCATCCGAGATGGCAACCTCACTAGTGGATCACAACGTGGCTGGAAGCCCGAATCGGCGGAAAGCGATGCGATCTTTTTGGAGCGAAATGAAAGGGAGAGAAGAGTTGCGAGGTGTAATTTGCAGGAGGAAGTAGGTGTACCCCACGGCAGGGAGCCCAAGGAAGAAGGGCTGGTAGGCAACGGAGAGCGTCCCGTAGCTCCGGAAGCAGCCTAGAAACGCGCCCGGGAAGAGGCGCAGATGCTGCCTTGTAGTCCCCAAACCAACTGCGTGCGCCACCTTTAGTTATGTGCGCTCCGCGCTTTGGGCATCTCCGTGTGATCGCGACCTTGTCCTTTCCACCTGGCGCCCTTGCTGCTTTCTGGCTCTTTAGCAACCGACTTCGCGTTTGGAGTACTGCCGCTGTTTGGAGCTCCAAATGGCGGCGGCAGCTCCAAATGCAGAAGTGGCAGCTTCAAACGCGAATCTCGGATGGAGGCATCGCAGTCTCCCTCTCTTGCTCGCTCTGAACTTCGCGTGGACCAAAATAAAAAGATCGCCCGCCGTCATGTTTGGAGCTGCCGCTTCCGCGTTTCGAGCTGCCCCCGTGTTTGGAGCACTGCCACTGTTTGGAGCTCCAAATGGCGGCGGCACTCCAAACATGGAAGCGGCAGCTCCAAACGTGGCGGCGGAATGGGCAGAAGGGAAAGCAACAGCAGTGGGTGCCAAAGGTGGCAGCAAAGGTGGGAGTAGGGAGCTCTCTGCGCTTCGCCATGATCACCCGTTAGGAGCAGCTGGTGGCGAGGATGCAAGGGGGGGAATTAAGTCACCCCCGAAAAGACGGCCTAGCCGTTTTTTCGGGGCTCAAAAAAAAATAAGGCCTGGCCTTATTATGTGAGAAACACGATACATAAGTCTTAATGACGATTGTGAAAGTTGAAGGATATAGATTTGGAAGATACAAAAGAGAAAATATTTGATTTAGTATAAGTAATTGAGGTGTTATTAGACCTGTATCTAACTCTCTTTGGAGAATCTTGGAATCTTACTAAAAAAAAGAGGTCTTCACAGTCATGAATTTGCCCAACCTTTTTACGCCATATGTCTTAAGCATATAGTACCTCTATTTTCTGATGTGACTGAAAATTAAGGAGGGCTCTACCTGTTGAGAAAATCTTGAAATGAAGAAAAAAGAAGATAGTCTATCGCACTGAAATCCTGATCAGTCTCATTCAGATGAAACTGCATGAAGACCAATTCCCGTTTCTTCACATCTTGGGGTCCTTTGACAATCACAGCATGTTTCTATAAGTGCAAGTGCAAGAAGGAAAAAAAATGAACATATGAGAAGTTTTTTTTTCTACATGGATGTAAGTATTACGGGATTAATCAAGACAGTTTAAGATAGTCCTGACCCTAGAATCCATTTGCTTACCAACATTCAGAAAAATAATACCCCAAAGCATTCTGTTGTTTATATTAATTACAACAGGCTAGATCTCAATTTAGACAAATGATACTGGCAGATAGGGATTTCCCTTCTTGTCTCCTACTCCATAGTAATTTTCATAATATCTTCTTCCTCTGGTCAGCAAACTGAAGGAAGAGAGAAGGCAGATGAGGCCCCTTCTCAGCTGAGTGGTTGTCCTAATAAGATGATCTGCATTCATTCATTCATTTACAGCAACCCTTGATTCTTTGCACAGCATTTGAAAAAGGTGGTGATAAGAACCTTCTGAGATTTGTAATGATTAGTCATGATTATTGAAGTTTTCAAAGTACTACACTTCCATTGCTATGGCAAAATGTGAGCTTTAAGGTAAGCCAGACAGAATTATAGAAAGATTCACAGATGGAGGACATGTATGTGAATTGACATACCAGCTACTCCTATTTTACAAAAATTAATGTTTCTAGACCATATCCATTGCACATATAATAGCTACGCAAAACAATATGGATTCTGCACAGAAAAATCTTAGTCTGGGTTTATTTAAAATATTAAGCATATAGCTGAGGGAGGATGTGGCCAACAGACACAGCCAGGGGGGTACCAGGTGTTATGGACACTTTTATGCAAATATTTCTATTGCTGTAGCTGTAAATTTAAGTAAATGTAAGTCCCAGTTTTCTTACAGCCAATGGCTATCTGCAGTAGTGAGGACTGTTAAGACTGAATTATTACTGTAGAATACAGTGCTAAGACGGAAGATTGCCAAGAAGGAATTCAGTTTTTTATTCACTTCTTTAGAAGCCCAATTTTAATTCTAAAGAAAGTCTTTAAAAACATTTACCAACCAGGTGTCTACAGGAGACACACCTGGTTAGTAAATATTATCTGCCCAAAGCAGCAATGTATCATTGTGATACAAGCTCCACAACTTTGGAACATGTGTTGTGTCTTCACACACACACATGGAATTTGTGTCACAATTGTGCTTCTGTCATTTTGATGGAAGTGTTGTGTCCTGCACATGCTTTTAATACTAATCAACAGGTGCATCATACAGACCTATAGGAAACGACTTTGTTCATCTTAGCTTTATTCAAATTACTATAATTAGTATAGCATAATATTGCTATAGCAGTGTTAACCCTGCAGCATAAAATTATGTTCCAAATTGTTTTGCATCAGGAGCATGTTATGCCTGTGTTGCTTTCCAAAACAATTTAAAGTGCTGGTTTAGAACCTGACATTTTGAGGAATTGGTTAAATTGATAGGAACTTGTGTGGATACTAAGGTCAGCAAGAGAAGCCCTCAAAGATGCCTTTATGTTCTCCTGCTTTGCTTCTAGTAGGAAAGTGCAGTATGAATATCATACTAGCTCCTGCTTTGTACTGAGGCGTCTCCACTATGCACACAGTTGACTTTATTTTACATTCCTTTTATTACCTTGGTTGCATTAGTAAATGGATCTGTGTAGTTGATTCTCTGGGTAACACATTCAATTTTCCCTGGCTGGCCTGGGTTGACCAGAGGTGGAATGTAATCGTAGAAGTGATGCTTGCAGGTTAGCAGTTCAGCCTTGCCTGGGTAGAGGGCAATACCTATTTTAGAAGAAACAGTTTTACATTTGAAATCAATGGAACCAGCCCACATGCCAAGCCCATGCATAACTATGTAAGCAAACAATATTGCCATTATCCACAAATACAAAATACAATATGGTAAATGGGGAGATATTTTAATCTAACCTGGAGGATCATAATACAAAATCTACTCTCGGGCAAAATATTTGAGAGGTACCATTCAGTTCAATAGCACAGCACAGCATCAGGAAGGCCCAAAGATTAATCATCTGCATTTCTAAAGGAAAGCCTCTGTCCAATATGCTGTATTATATACTATATAATATAATATATAATATATATATAATATAATATATAATATACTGATAGTCTCAAGCGGAAATAAATGAATAGCACAATAGTATGAAGCTGCAATTTAAAAGGCCATTAACTTGTCCTATAAGTGAAGATGAGAATCAGTCAAACTTAAGAGAGGAAACAAAGGGGTGCTTGCATTACAAGCTTGCATTACAAGCTTGCATTACAAAAAGCTAATGAAATGGGATTTCACCACACCAATTTCTGGAATCTAGTGAGGTAAGAGCGCAAATATTATTAAACAGCCCTCTCCTCTCACCCTAGATATAAACACATAGTGGATTTACCCATTGTGCTACACTATGATTTGGTGTGCCCTTATGCCCTTATGTGGTGTGGATAAATTTCACACTTACAGGAGTTATTTCCTTTTTTAATTAAAAGCCATAGACTCATTGATCAAATCAGAATTAAAGAACTCTGAGCATAGGTTCCAATTATCAGAAATAAATGGAGAGGACAGATAATCTGCCAAAATTCCATTACTGGTAAACCTAAGCTTTCTTCCATTCCTATAGTTTAACTTATTAAAACAACTTACAAATCTTTATTAATCAGGTGGAAATCCCCAGCTATCTACCAAATGATCCAGTCACAGCTGCTGCCTACCTGCTTTAATACAAGCACATTAAAAACATGGCTTTGGATTCCATCACATCTAATGGCTCCTCATCCGACTCTTTGCAGATCATTTCACCCAGAGACCACTTGGTAAAATTAGCACAAGTAATTCTGGAGGCTTCACTGAGAGGAAGATGAGATTAGAATAGTGTTCTCACCTCACAAGAAAACTACATTGAATGAGAATATCCAAACACGAAGCTGACGGAGTAGAATATTTTCTTCCTCAACAATCCTGCTCTACAGCAGATCCTACAGTACATTATAATTCATTATAAATCTTCCATAAATCAATTATGTAAATTGTGGAAAAAAAGATACTGTGACCAGTTTCACTGCTGCAGCTCCCTAATGCAAACAAATCTTTATCACACATTTCTGCTAAATGCCCTCTGTGCTATTCAGGAGGACAACTTATGACTACAACATGATTTTAATCCAGCAATGTTTGGCATAGAAGCTTCTATTAAAGAATTGTTCCACAGGATAATTTGTACATTATTCATTGTTCCTCACCACTGGCTGTCTTGACTATGATTGATTGGATTTCATTAATTCTGGAAGGTGCATGTTGCCTGCCCTCAAATAAAACAACCTGCTTGACTCAAGGAATGGAAAGGCAATTGCATATGGCTCCCAACTCATTCTACAGCCCCCAGGTTCCCCAACATCACCCTATCAAAATTCTGCAAAATTCCCATTGTAGGTGGGATCACTTCTACACTATTAATAAACAAAACCCACATAGATATGTGAAGTTCTGGCAGGTTGAACAAAAGTACTTCAGTTTTAACACATGCTGGAAATTTAAAGCATGTTTGACCAAGAAAATGCCATCTTGTTGCTCCTATGTTCCCAGGAATTTTGAGGCCTTTAAAAAATTAAGTCCATTCTATTGCTACCATAAAAAGTAAAAAAAAAAGCTGTGATGATGAACTAACGTTAGGTTGGTTTACACAATAATGCTAAGTCACTGTGTTTTGATTTATTTCTTATTGTTCTAATCCATCATGTCAATCCTGTCTTCTGGTGACTACAGGAACAAGTCCATGTGGTTTTCTTGGCAGCATTTTTTGAAGTGACTCGCTCTCATCTCCTTCCTAATAGTGTAATAGCAATAGCACTTAGACTTATATACCGCTTCACAGGGCTTTACAGCCCTCTCTAAGTGGTTTACTGAGTCAGCCTGTTGCCCCCAACAATCTGGGTCCTCCTTTTATCCACCTCAGAAGGATGGAAGGCTGAGTCAATCTTGAGCTGGTGAGACCCAAACTGCTAAGGTCGAGAAAGAGTGACTGGTCCAACGTCACCTGCCTAAGGCTGGAATAGAACTCACAGTCTCCTGCCTTCTAATTCAGTGCTTTTAACCCATCTACCAAAGTGATAGGTAAAATATTTAATAGATAGGTAAAATGAGCCATTGTGATTTATAAAATACTGTTTATGTGTGAACCAGGCCATTGTGGCTTGTTCAAGAAATCTTAATGAAAACCATAGTTTAACACAATGCATGAACTTTGCCAGCGATTGCTGCTATAGAGTACAAAAGTGTAAATTTACATAATACTTGTTTTGCTCATTGATATGTGTTCCACTCCAAACTTCTGAATTTCCAAAGCCTTCAACAGAATTTGCAGAACTACAGCTCCCAGAATTCCTTCAGAGAAACTTCACCTTTATAAAGATAGCATATGTACTGCACAAGTTTAGATTTAAGCCACTTGCTTTATCTAGAAGATGGGCAGCATTTAATTTAATAAAGAAAAAAACAAACAAATAAATAGCAGGTAAGATGAACAGCTGTAATGGCAAACTTTTAATTCCAAGGATAACTGCAGATGCTACCTGATTCCCCAGAAAATATGCTGTCCATCTTCTGGTCTTACCAGGAGCATCGTAAGAGTGCACTTCCTTGAATGAGACAGACATCACTGGATGCTTGAGTTTTTCCCTAAAGTCAGCAATGGTTTGATAGGCCAAAAAAATGGCCACTGCCATAAGCGCCAAATATATGAAGAGAAGTATTACAGAGAAGACATTCTTCAGGCAGGACTTGCTGAAACGCACTGAAGGGCTGCTACCATCTAGGACTAAAGATAATATTAATTTGAAAATGCAGTTATTTATTTATTTAGCATATGGCATACAATGTCAGGGAATCTACAAATGCTAGACACAATGTAGTCCTAACAGCCTAACTGCTATTTCGTTCTGTTCGGCACTTGTGTCCTTGGTGCACTGCAGGTGGCTAACTAGTTTCAGCTGACTAGCGTCATTTGGGTTGATGGCTCTTCCTGTCTCCTCCAAACGTGCTTCACCTCCTGCCTCATGTTGTGTTGTCTTTCCTGTCTCCTCCAGACTTGCTTCACCTCGTGCCTCATGTTGCGTTGTCTTGCATCCAGCCAGATCCAGGACCTCCTCCTGTTTCCCGCACACACAAATGCAGCTAGGTTTTTATCTACTTGCACTATTGCATGCTTTCAAACTGCTGGGGGAGCAGGAGCTAAGGAGCGAATAGTAGGAGCTCACCCCATCTCATGGAGCCAGACTGCAGACTCGAACCGCCAGACTGCAGACCATTTCTGATCCACCGTTCCAGTAAGATTAAGCCATTGTGCCCTTACAGTACCCAATGGACTATAGTTGCCTCTTGTGAAAGGGACCAGATTCAAAACACTGAATCTGATGGAGAATATTTGGAAAGTGAGATCCTATTTTCGTCTTGCGTAGCAAGAATGTAGAGGAGGATCAAACAATTGTTTTGCTTTTGAAGGAGCATTTTTCAGCATCCAAGGCCACAGGGAACATGTCATTTGTGCAATTATTTCATTAAAGATGGTGGGGCTGGAAGTTTCAGATCTTTAAAAAGAGATCTTTTTAAATATTGGGTTGTTATCTTTAAAACAATAAGCCTGTCGAAGACTTCTTTCGTTAAATCTATGAAAACCGTGTCCTCGCATGCTGAAAAAAGGGATGCGGGGCAGAAGTAAATGACATTTGCTATGCAACTCTTTGGATTAAATTCCCAAAAGATGTTTCTGAGCATGCAAAGTGTGAATTGTTATAGAAGGTGTTTATAACAATTTAAAGCAGCTACATGTTTTCATGGAATACCATCGCTGCCATACGATTCTAGAATGCAGCTATTTAAATACTCCAGTTGGGTCTTCAAAGGTCCAAAGCATTATATAATCTTATTGTCCACCATTGATCTAGTAATCAGCTTTCTCCACATTTCCTTTGAACATCTGAGTATAGTATTCCTGGTGTGTGTGCTATCACAGGCAGAACTTTCATTGTAAAGGAGACCCTTCCCTCACCTTATAGCTTATATGCCTTATACCTGTTGAATAGTTCAACAATCTACCTGTCTTTCACAAATAGCAACTCTCTCAATACTTTGAATATCTCCCTCTCTCTTGATTGCTTTGAGTATCACTTGTCAATCGGTAACAATATCTAACAAGAACTTAAGATGTTCCATTGTAAATTATTCAGTCTGACAAGATCAGAAGGCCTCACCTGGAAGGATTGTTGAAATGGTATCTTCCTGATCCTCTTCATCTAATGGTTCATCTGGTTCAGAATTTGCAGGTCCATACTCCATATCTTCATTTAGCTGTAAACAGAATTACCCCTTCTTAAATTACTATAGTTGGCATATTACTGCACTCAAATGTAAATATTAGCCATCTCAATCGACCATTCTTATTCTAACTACTTCATATCTTATAGACCCTATATTATGGCTATTCTATTCATGCCCAAAACATGCACACATTACAAACAGCTTGTTGAAACTAAGCAAGCATGGGATGGGTGATCTTGGGTTCTATGATGGATTAATACTGACCCCTGTGGAAAAAAAAAGAGAAAAGTTTCTGTTTGACTCTTAGGAAGTACAAATTTGTCTTACTAAACACGCATCACTTTAGCCACAGTTGTGAAGAGGCAAAGCAATGAAATATCTGGAGTTTTTAGATGATACAACTGGGTATACTTTAACCCCATGACATAATTGCTACATCCAAAATTCAAATTCCCACTGAACTACAGGGTAACTTTGGGCCAGTTAGTCTCTCTTCATGCCACTGCTTTTATATTTCATTTCAATCAAATGATTACAATAAAAAATGGCCAAAAACCTCTTCTTGGATCAATATAGGCTAGATGTTTTCTTGCTCTGTCCTTCAAAACTTATGGCTCAAGCTGTCAAGATGATTTTTGTTAACGTCTCCAGCTTGTCATTTCCGACAATCCCTACATACTGCACAGCAATCTCAAGTACTGGATTAAAATAAAGGAAGGCATCTGGGGGGGGGGGGGGGGAATCTAGCTTTCCTTTGTTTTTCGCCCCTCTTTGTGTTCTAAAACAACCAGCTGAATCATAATGTAGTATTTTTTCCTCCCATTTCCCAATGTAAAATTGGGCCATTTTTTAACTGCTGTTTTTCCAAATGTTTTAAAAAGGCCTTTTCCAGGCTCTACTTACTACCATATTTCAACTTGATTTTCCATGACACAAGGGGATTGCTGCATGGATGAGCCTTACTCCAGAGCAAGAGGCATGGATACAACTAAGCATAGAATAAGCACCATTAGAAAGTATGTGATGAAGTCATCAGAGAGAAAAGGAAGTAAAATACTGTATATAATCCCATACACGCAGAATTGGCCAGGGGAACTTTTAAGGGCTGCCAGATAGAAGATGCAACTTTTGTTGCTGATAATAGCCTCGTATTATTTTATGAAGAATTCTCATGGGTCCTTCATGAATAATACTTCACCCATACTGGGTGCTTAATAATGCCTACATTGTCCAAAGTACCATCTAATAAGAGCTGTGTGAACTTGTTCTACTGCTGATTTATACAGGATATGAATAAAGTCCTTCAATTTATTCACTGCAACTTGCTTGTTAGATTCCTTCTATAGCTGACCAATGATATCTTAGATTAAGATCCTTCTATAGCAGAAGGGTTCATCCTTCCTTAAGAGAGAAGATGGTGAAGACTTTGCTTGACAAACTACCTCCAAATTGGACTGATTTTAATGACTATAAATAATCTTGGCTTGTCTAATATTCTATATTTAAGCAAGCCAATAAGAAAAATCAGTGGTCCTTTTGAAGATATGGATTATCTAGATCCTTTCCAGTCTTAGTTCAGATCTGGATGTGGCATAGAGATGGTCTCCGTTATTTGGATAGGCGATCCTTATGAGAGACAGATATGGCAGTATGATACTATCGATCATGGTATCCTTTTGGGAGCTATAGGCTAGAGACCCCAAATTCCTGATGCTTTTACTCTTGCCTCTCTTCAGTATTTCTAGAAGGTAGCATTGGAACACACCTATCCGGTCCCAAGATTTTATCTTGTTTCTCACATTGTTCACTAACTGGATGAAGTTATTTGTAAGGATCATGTCTGATTTAGTACCAGTTGCAACTAGCATGCTGAAGATCCCCAGCATTTTCCCTACAAGCTCAATATTGATGTTTGACCACCTTTATACAATATCAGGTATAAGGGACTGAATAGGGGAGAAACACAATTCAGTCAAGACAAGTTGTTGTTGATTCCTGGAATGGATTTCAAGCTTTAAGCGAAATACTTGTTCCCCTTATGGAACAGGTTTGCTATCTGGGAATCATCTTGGATTCAGCATTGACTTATGTAACATTTGCATAATGTTGGAGGCCCCACACTGGTAACCCATGCACTGGTAACTCAAGGATGGATTATTACAATGAGCTTTTTATGTCTACATCTGGAAGACAGTTCAGAAATTCTAGCTGGTCAGAATGCAATGGCCTATATGTGACCTTTCTTGTTTGTTGCTTGTTGAATTCCAACGCAAGATTATCACTTCGCTATATAAAACTTGACATGATTTAGATCCAGATGGTTAGGCACAGTTGATTTTTTTGCAGATCCTGCTAAATCAACATAGTAGAACAATCTGCCATTAGAATGACAACAGAGCTCCTACTTGTAATAGCTTATGGGGAGGAATAACACTGATCTCAGATCACTTGCAATGGCATAAATTTAATGTCAACTAAATAAATCTTCTCATTAAGGCCTTTTAGATGTGCAGAATTGTTTTATGGTCTTGGTCATACTGTATGGCAGTTAATTAAAACAAAAAGAGTAAGTTGCCTAGAATCATTAGAGAGAGCAACATCTGCTGAATCATTGCCATGAGATGTGGCCCACACAGCCATCAAAATTTTGCTCTGCACTGCTTCAATGTATGAGCAACCCTTGGATCCAGCATATTATTCACTCTATTCCATTTCCCCTCACCAACATCCTTCTGTTTTCCCCTCCTAGCCTCCTTGTGAGCTTCCCAAAAGCATCTGGTTAGATCTAATCAGACTAGAATGCTGGCTTAAAGGGAGAGCAAATGTTATTTCTTTTCCATTTATCTCAGCAACAAACTCAATACCCTATCACTTCCCTGTTTCATTTTTGAACCATGACTTCCTTTTTGAAAGGTTGCTTAACAATACTTTCAAGTTTGCCTGGTTCATCCCCCTGGTTCATCCATTATTTTGTTGGTTAAAAACTTCAGATGAGTTCCAAATTAGCTCTCTTTTTTGCAAGTGCCTAGGACTGTGATGGCGAACCTATGGCACGCATGCCATAGGTGGCACGCAGAGCCATTTGTGCTGGCACGCAAGCTGCAGGCAAACTTACTCACTGCTTATCTCACAGCTGATTTTCGGCCACTTTGAGGCCTTTTTCAGCCTCCCAAAGGCTTGAGGAAAGGCTTCTGCAGGATTTCAGGCCAAAAACTAGCCCCATTTCATCACTTCCTGTTTTTCTGAAAATACCGGAAGTGATGAAACAGGGCTAGTTTTTGGCCTGCAAAGCCTGCAGAAGCCTTCCTCAAGCCTCTGGGAGGCTGAAAAAGGCCTCAAGCCAGCTGAAAATTAGCTGTGAGGTGCAGTGCAGGTAAGGGGGTGGCAGGGGTGGGCGGATGGGGATTGTGCACGCATGCGTAGGAGGTGCATTGCCTTCTGGGTGCTGGCATGTGAGCGCGAGCGTGCAAGTGCATGCACAATTTTTGGCCAAAAAGGTTAGCCACCACTGGTCTAGCACCTCCTAACCAAAGTTCAGAAAATTATTATTGTTAGGCCATAGAATCCCTTGAATCTTGACACCGATGGCTGCTTTCAGTTTCTTCACAGTTTGTGCTCTTATGATACTTATATCATTGTTTCTGTAGCCAAAACTTAGGGAAACCTCAAGGTTTACCTAAAGGAAAACCCAAAACCCTTCACCTTCCCTTGCTCCTCTGAAAAAGAGCTCACTGAAGAGAAATTCAGTGGGAACAGAACAACAATGTCAGTTGGGGAGAAAATTGAGGATGAAGGAGAGAAACTGCTTGTAACTCGTATGGAATCCCTAACAGGAATGTTCCACACTGCAACCACAATTTGTTGTAGAAACCTTTGGTACAAGAAATGACTATTCTTCAACTATGCTCCCAATTGAAGACAATGATTTTTCCTTTTATATCATAAATATAAAAGCTACAACAAAATGGCGAACTTGTTTATGGATTTATTCTATTAAATCATCTGGTGTTTAAGGTGTTATAAAACGTTTTGGTTTCCCCGTCACAGATTTAAGAAACTAAACTGTTGCCATAATTAGCAGCCTTTCCTAGGCTGATGCTATCCAGAGGTACTGGATTACAACGCCATCAGCCCAGCCAGTTCTGCTGATTGACTCATGGAGTGGTAACCCAGAGCACCTGGACAGTGTCCCCTTAAAGGAAAGCTGCTCTTTAGGTTGAAGGAGAAGCAGACAGACTTATGATTGCAACAGCTGATTTACTGATATGCAAAACAAGAAGCCTAAAGCTCAGAGGCTGTTATGGTGACCAGCAGAGAATTTGACAGCAGAACTGAGATAGTCTGACCAAGCCAAGTGAATGCAAACATGCAGCCAATTTCCGGAGCTTTCTAAAAATGCATTTGAAAGTGTGTGTGTCTGTCTGTATAGGCTTGTTTATCTCGACAGCCAGCAGTACCCTCTCGCCTTCCTTTTCCTGCCTATTTGCTTGCACACAGGCCTGCCAAGCAGTGAAGCAATGCAGCGACTTAAAAGCTGTTCCATGCAAAAGGCAGCACAATGTTTTTTTTTTCATAGAAAATGCTCAGAGAAAGAAAACACTCAGCAATCATTAGAATTAAAAAACAAAGCTAAGTTAAAATTAGTGCTTTAAGCAAGCTTCTTTTAATGACGAAAATCCAAAGGAAAAGAGAGTGTAAAATTAAATTCTATGGGATGGAGAGTGAAACTGATAAAAAAAAACGCAGCCTCAACTATGTTAGGTAACATATGGATAACATATCCTTGCAGTATTATTGGAGTAGTCTTTCCAAGTCCAGTGCCCTCCAGATGTGCTGACCTACAACAAGCCTATCAAACTGATGGCCTGCAGGCCAGATATGTCATGCACAGGCCATGCCCATCCCAGCTCCGCAAAGGCAAAAAACATCACAATACGTCACAATCCGGCCCGTGACGTGATCGACTCCTCTGACCTACAATATCCATCAGTCATGGGAAAGGGGAAATGAGTATAAACTCATTAAACCCACTGGGGACTTAGTACACAGATAATGACAACCAACAAAGCCAAGAACATGTGACACTTTAGAAACCATCATACAAGTTAGTTTCTTGGAATCCTTGAATTATTGCCCAAGTTATTGTCTCCACACCACAAAAGCAACTGGTCCACCTCATCTCTGTAGGCAGACTCCTCCCCCATGGAGATAAGTCCCATTCCTGGAGGAACAAACATGTTAGTCTGATACCACAAAGCAGCAATAACAACAAAAATCTTAAGGCCAGTGGTGGCATTCTACTGGTTCGGCCCGGTTCTGCTAAGCCGGTAGTGGTGATGAGCAGGGGAGACCTCCCATACTCACCTTTATCTTCTGCTTTGAAGCGCAGCTGCTTTGCGCGGCACAGAAGAGTGTCACACAGCAGCTGTTGAAGCAGCCAGGAGAGTGCAGGCTTGCAGGAGGTGAGCTGGAATGCACCCACCAAACCAGTGGTAAGTTTTTTAATCCCACCACTGCTTAACGCATCTGTAAGACTAATATTTACTATGACACCATAATCCTTTGTAGGTCAAAAAAACCTGTAAGCTAGAATTCTCTGGAAGTTGAAGTCTAAACATCTTAAAGTTGCCAAGGTTGGGGAAAAAAACCAAACACTGCTGTACACTGTATCTTTGAAGAAAAGGTGCCAAAGGTACAGGTATTGAGTCACCCTGGATAGTAAGGCAGGCAGCATGTAAATTTAATTTAAAAAATTCAAATGCAGCTTCCAGAGCTTTTTAAAGTGCTGTTGGAGGAAGGGGAGGACAGGGTTCAGATCAAATTCTTGCCATCTTGCCTTAAAAAAATGGGGGGGGGGGGGGGGGGGGGGGGGGGGGACGGACGGATCTAACACAACCCAGTCCTACTAAACTATAATAAGAAGAAAAGCTCCCAGCTTTCAGTGGGCTTGTTACCATGGTTCTAAAATTCTGCATTAACAGAAATCCAGTCCACAGCGAGTTTGTTTGTTCAAAGGGCATCCTCTCCGCCTTGCACGGAACTCTGCAAAGGTTTGAGCTGCTCTCTCCTTAAGGTGCTGGAACTGGACTCGCTTAAAGTCGGCATTCCGATGCATCCACAGCGGCAATGCCCGACCGACCGACTAAAGGGGCAACCCTGAGGATACACGCATCCTACCCACACCCACTTGTAGCGTAAAGGGGCCCCGCTATGCACGTCTGCCCTAATGTATCCTTTTGTCACCCACAGGATTGTACTGTTACTTTGGAGTAAGTCTCGTTGAACTTTGGCGGGACTCCCTTCCGAAGTTTATATTGTTGCGGCTCTTGCTTGCTTGCCAGTGACCGTGCAAAGGCACGGTCTTTTCTGTGCAAGCTAATTGTTTCTCGACGCCGCCAAGATGTAACGCCGATCGCGTACAAAGCCTCGTATCAGCAGAGTGCAAATACTGCGCCTCCCTCCCCGCCCAATACCTCTTGATAAGACGACGAGTTCTCTTGTCTAATCATGGCACCGGCGAAAAGAAAGCGCAAGGGAGAACCGGGTCAAACAGCGGCATCTGTTAAGAGAAGGCGGGCAGCGAGGACGAAATCGAAGCAGCAGCAGCAGCGCAGCTCGGCACGCCCCGTTTCACTCCCCACTAAGTGCGCGGACATGATCCGACCAATGGCGCAAGCGCATGTAACGCACCGACTCCACAAGGTGCCGCTAGCGTATCTTCTGCCACCGCTCAGGCCATTACCGCGTGTAATGGATTGCTGACACCGGTTGCGGAACCGAAGTAGAAGCGGAAAGGCTGCTGGGAGATGTAGTTTATCATCAAGTAGCGCTCTCTGGCGTCCCTTGAAGCTCTATCCTTAACCGGATACTGGTCGGCCGGGTTAGCCCATTCGGGAAACAGGTTGAATGTGTGAAGAATGTAAGCAGGGGGTAGAGAGGTTATATCTAAGAGCTGCAACAAACTGAGTGACCGGTGACCGTTAATAGTATATATCTAATAAATTTAGCAGTTTAAGTAATCCGTTAAATGGGATTTATTTTAATTTATGTGCACAAGGTTGCAGATAGAGTTGGAAGCATGCCTCAGTAAACAGGATTTGCATCAAATCCTCAATAAATAGAAAGCAAGTTATTGTTACTTAAAACTCATCCTTAATAGTGAAATGTGGCTATCATACCCCAATATGTATAACATACCCTAATATGTATAGCATACCTTAATAATAATACCTGGGTTGCAGACATCCAGCTGAGTAGCACATGGCAGCAAAGAAAGTTTCCTTTAATATGACACAGGTGAATTCTGGAGAGTATTGAGAATTCTTTTGACTGGTAATATTCCTGCTAGCCTTAGTGACAGATGCCTCATTATTATATACCTCACTGTAAAAGTAACAATGACTCGTTTTAATCACTTAAACCCACTTGTTGCACAAAGATCTTCTGTGTATACAGCTTTAGGGCTTCCAGACCAGTCAATATGATGCTTTATAGAGATTATAAAGTAGGATTGAAGCAAATACAGTATTATACATGATCAGGCTTTGTTTGCAGTGTTTGAAGAGTTAATAAGAGACAACCAAGAAAACAAAATCCCAGCACATTGTACTTGTGAAGTGTTAATCAAGCAGTCAGCACCTGAGCACTGTTAAGAAAAAATAGATATTTAAATACACTGCTCAAAAAATAAATAAAGGGAACACTTAACCAACACAATGTAACTCCAAGTCAATCACACTTGTTTTTGTTTTGAATAGCTGAAGGACCCTCCCATCCCGGAGTCATCCATAGCTTGTTCGAACTAAGCAAAGGGAAGGGGGCTGGAAGTTCTCTCCCTGGAGCCTTCAGGATGAGGCGACGTATAAACGAAGTGGAGGAATAGACGAACAACGCGAGCACGAGGAGCCCCGAGAAGGCGTTTCCCTCGCCAGCCTCCGCTCCCGGCCGGATTTGGAAGCCGTCCACCTCCCGAGAGCCATGGCCCAAGGCCTCCGCCTGGCGCTTGCCCTGCTAGCGTTGACCCACGCGGGCCCGCAGGAGGCGCGAAGTGAGCAGGAGCTCCGGTTCAAGCCCCCGCCCTCGCAGAGACCGGTGCGGCTCTTCACGGAAGACGAGCTGGCCAGGTACGACGGACACAAGGTAAGGCAAAGCTTTCGGAAAGGCTCCCCCTCGGCGGCCGGGGGCGGGGGTTGCGGGGACGGGCCCTCTCGGCAGCAAAGGCCGGCTCGAGCCGCTTTTTCGGGGGAGGGGAGGGGAAAAGGTCTTTTCTCGAGAAAAGAGGTAGCAGAAGCAACCTGTTGGGAGAGAGCTGCGCCCTCTGGACGCCGTTGCAGCAACACGACTGGAGCAGTTCTGCGCGTTTTGATCCCGCCTTGGAGCTTTCGGCCGAAACTGACCGAAGTTACTCTGCGGAGGGCGGGTTGGGGGGGCTCCCGGGCTGTAATCTCTTTGAACTCGGCGAAGTTTGTTAGGCAGCATATTTTGTTTTGATAAGCCGCAAGAAAGAGTAACGGAATATTTCTTGTACAGCATTAAAACACGGCTGCCCAAAATGGGATGTCGCGCGTTAGGACAAAGGAATGAAGTTTCACACTGTCTCCAAAACTTGGTTGTTGCATCTTTTCCTTGGTCTTGTGGTACTGCAAATCTCTCTCTCTCACACACACGCGCGCGCGCTTGTGTAGAGTTGGACTGCAAGGCAAAAGTCAATGCATATAAGGTCTGCTTTGGAGAGCCCTGGCATTTTAACTGGAAAATGAGTGCCTTTCGTGCCTACAATTTTGTTCCTAAAAATGGCCATGATTAAAAGCCCCACTAATTCTGGATTCTTTGGGGTCTTTAGAAGGATGCTCATGGCAACATGGAACTTTGGGTTATACTTTTGTAATAACAAAGCAATTAGCAACATAGTTACCTTTGTGGAAAACTAGACAAACAGTTTATCATAGGGACACTTAAGGATAAAAGAAAACCTTCTTTGTAAATATTAAAGGCATTTCATAATGTGTATGCAGTAGGTTTTTGCATGCTGTTCCTCTTCATTTACAAACATGGAAATTTTGTACCAAAATGAATAATTATACCTTAGTAATCAGAACTTTCATTTGCATGTATTATATCATAATGGATATGATAACCTCTATTTTTATTTCATTAACAAAGGAATTTGATGTAGAAATTTTCAGAAGCAGTGAAACCAGGGCTTCCAGCTGCATAAAGCATAACACTGAGCAACACAAGTTATCATGGCAAAAAGTAAATATATTTTGGTTGTAGAGTTAATCAACCACATCTGGAGAACCACAAATTCCCCACCTATTAACCACCACTCTAAATCTAGTATTCAGTGCTACAGACTTTTCTTTTTATTTACACCAATTGGAGATTTCTCTGCTCAAGTTTATTCTGTAGACTTTCTTTTTATAGCATCCCTTTGTTAATGTGAACAGCTTTTCCTCTTTAAAGACAAGAACCTTCAAGTTCTAGTTAAGTGACTTTTGGTTTTCTTGAAAAAAAGAATGACCAGGTAAAACAGTATGCTGTTGGCATTTCTTACCAGTACATTTCATGATAAAGTATATACATTGTACTTTCAGGAGGATGAACCTATTTATATAGCCGTGAAGGGTGTGGTGTTTGATGTCACTTCTGGAAAAGGTAAGATCACCTTACAAGCAGAATGTCCTCCCCCCTCACCCCCAGAATGGTTCACAATAAGTATATCTTGGTGTTGTCACCTCAACCGTATGGCTCTTGTAAAGAGTAAAGGCAATTGCCCAAGCATATGCTGAAAAAAAGTGTTCCTCTCATTTATAAAGGCTGCTAGTTCCCCCCCTCCTCAGATGTTTATTATCCTTAATTCCCAGAGCTGGATAGCCTTTATAGTTCTTGAATTTCAGCTCCTATTAGCTCCAACCAATATGATCGGTGACCAATCCTGGGACTTGTAGACCAACATCAGCTAAGGCAGCCACAGATTGCTCACACCTGTTTAGAAGGACAGTACTTGTGTATAATGCCAGATTTTACCCGTTTAGCAGCTCTTGGTGCTAATTTCATCTGAAGAGTAACCTAGATCTTTTCCTGTCTTTGCAGCAAGCTCGTAGCAGCTATGTAGCAATAGTTTCATATATTTGTAAGAGTCTAGTGCTGCTACCCCAGGGATATTCATTTTGCCACTGTTTAAAACCAAAGGGAGCAAGTTCCTACTTGCTTTCCTCCTGGATTTCCAAACCTCAGTTATTTCTGCCTGGTTTGCCTTTACTCATTGAAGTGTTCAATTTCAAACCAGGGGTCTGGGAGGAAAATAAACAGTTTGAAAACTATTGCTGCTTCAAAAGATTCATCAACCAAATCCAAATCTGAATAGCTCACCTCAAAATCCCATCTGATAACTTTTAAACAGTTTTAATGTACATCCCTTCACATAATGCAATAAATCCATAGAGCAGTAGGGATGAGTAGTCCCCAATATCAATATACCTCTGGCCATATCTTATCAGTATAGAGAGTTGGTGGGAAAAGGTGGTTCACCACATGGTTATTAAAAAGGGAAATAAGTAGCATGTATTACAAAAGTATATGGCAAATAGCTTGGAATGGGCAGTTGTATAAGGAAAGTTTGGGAATCCAGTTATTCAATTCCTGTCACTCGTGACATAGGATAAAGTTTTGGTCAAACACCGCATTTTTTGGAGTATAAGACGCATTCCCCCACCCCCCAAAAAAGTGGGTGGAAATGTCTGTGCATCTTATACAGTGAAAGCGCCCATTTTTTGGCCTGCAGAGTGCCTCTGGACGCCGGGGAGGGCAAAAACGGGGTGCAAGGAAGCAAAATGTTTTTTTCTTATTTTCCTCCTCTAAACCAAGGTGCATCTTATACTCCGATGCGTCTTATACTCCAAAAAATACAGTAGTATGTTGGAGAAGAACTTCTGGATGGTAGTAGTAGAAGATACAGTTCCATCTTGTACAACATAAGACCACATAATACAGAAATTTGACACGGAGAGAGGGTTCCCTCTTTCTTATTATTGGAAGTAAGTCCTTATATTCTGTGAATGTAGCTTCCAGTGGGCATTTTCTTTTTCCCGGTTTTGGGATCATCCAAATGTATGGTTGCCTTTTTCAATTTGGTATTTTCCAAGTCCTTTGGACAACAGCTCACAGAATGCAGTCTAGCATTGGTTGCTCCCTGGTTGGAGAGACTGTGTACCTCACACCCATTTTTCTTTATTTCCCTTTCCTTTTCTGATCACCATTTCACTCTCTAAACTATCCCTTAGATTACTGACTGTTTGCCATATGCCCACTTGTTTTGTGTATTGTTGTTAAGGCTTCAAAATGTTGGAGGATTTCAGTAGTTTAGGTTGTTTACATTATTGTATTAAAGTTGGTTCAAGACAAACTGAGTCATGAACGTGTTTCTCTTGTTACACAGTTGAAGATAAGACATTTCATGCTTACTTGTTTTAGAACTTTTTAGGGGCTGGCACTATGCAAAGCCAGGATAAAACAAATCAATCTCTGGAAATCTCAATATATAACAACACTTTATTCTAGGCTTGTGAACAATGAAGTCCCTGGGATGTAATTTACGATAGCTGTTCTTAAAGCAGTGTAATCTTCGAAATACCTCTCTCTCTCTGTGCATGCGCGTGCGTGAGAACGAGCGAGCCTAAGAATTTTAAGTCCTGTGCTTAACTGCTATTTGTGTTATTTTTCTCCAACAGAATTTTATGGGAAAGGAGCACCATACAAT